CAGAAGCGGTGAATGCTCCAACACTGGAAGTTTTTAAGAAGAGACTGGACAGCCATTTGTCCGAAATGGTATAGGGTTTCCTGCCTGAGCAGGGGGTTGGACTAGATGACCTTCAAGGTCCCTTCCAACTTTACTATTATTATTATTATTATTATTATTATTATTATTATTATTATTATTATTATTATTATTATTATAATATATTTAGTTCCATTGAAGATGACATGTTGAGTGCTGCTGGTCAGCCAGTTACTATTTCATCTGGTGCTGCTGCTATCATCTATCTCATATTTTTCTATCATACCAAGAAGTATTTTGTGGTGTACTTGTTTGCATATGGAGCCCCTAAATCAGACATGTCAAACACAAGGCCCGGGGGCTGGATGCGGCCCGCGAAGTGGTTTCATGTGGCCTGCGAAGACATCCTAGAAACAGTGAGGGAACGGCCCCTGCTGCCTTGGCCCTGGCCCAGGCCGGCCAGGAGCCAATGTACAATTTTGTGGTGGCCATCTATGCTGAAATACATTCAGTCTTAGCTCCACAAGACCGTCTGGAAACAGCGAGGAACCAGTTCCTGCTGCGTCGGCCCTACCCCCTGGGTGCTGCTGGTCAGCCAGTTACCATTCCATCTGGTGCTGCTGCTATCATCTATCTCATATTTTTCTATCATACCAAGAAGTATTCAGTATTTGTTTGTATGTGGAGCCCCTAAATCAGACATGTCAAACACAAGGCCTGGGGGCCGGGTGTGGCCCAGGAAGTAGTTTCATGTGGCCTGCCCCTGCCACGTCGGCCCCACCCCCTGGGTGCATGCTGGGGAGGTGTCACCCTTTGTGAGGAATGAAGAAATGCACCATCACCTGGAAGTGCGCAGCAAATGGCCCTCGCCTACTTCACATATCCGGCTTGATGCCAGAGACCCTCACATCTGTCCCACTCCTGCCCAGGCCCCCACAGGCACCCTTAGCACGAATGATGTAGAGCTGGCCACACCCACCCAGTAGGCCACACCCCTCCCTCGAGGGCAACCACAATGCTGTTTGACACCTCTGCCCTAAATGATTGCCAACTTCATCCTGTAAATAGAATAATGAAATACGGTACAAACCTGGAAGCATGCTACCATATTGGTCCCCATCCACATCTAGTCAGGAGATACAGGTCGTCCTCGACTTACCACTATTTGTTTAGTGACCGTTTTAAGTTACAAAGGCCATGAAAAACGTGACCTATGACCGTTTTTCATTCTTACAACTGTTGCAGCATCCCCCTGGTCATGTGATAAAATTCAGATGTTTGGCAGCTGCCACGTATTTATGATAGTTGTAGGGTCATGTGATCACCTTTTGCAACCTTCTGACAAGCAAAACTAATGGGGAAGCCAGATTCACTTAACTATGCGAAAAACATAAAATGGGGCAAAACTTACTTAACAACTATCTTGTTTGGCACTGGAATTTTGAGACTCAGTTGTGGTTGTATGTCAAGGACTACCTTTAATATATTTTTGTCTTCATTCTTGCAGAGCCTAAATCTCACTAGACGGCAGAATTGCTCTCAATAGGCTTCCCAATTTCCAGAGGAGTTAGATTATTCCCAGGCAGGTGCCTTGGGCAAAATCTTTGGATTGCGCAAGTTAGCAGAAGGCCAATGTAAAAATTCTGGCGCTTTCTTAGGGGTGACTCTCAGTGGAGATCAAAACCTCTCTACACCCCAAAACGTTTATCACAGATATTCCTGTGGCTCCTAAGGTGAGATGCTGTAGGGGGGCCATCTTCACTCCTGCCAGCCAGGGCTGCATCCAACAGCACCCACCATGAAGCTTCATTCCTAAAGGAGGAAATTTTACATCTGCTGAATGCTAAATGCCATGTGCGTCTGTAAATTTCCTTCCACAGGAAGCCTCCATTAGGTCACAGAGAGGGAAAAATATGCAGCAGGGCCTAGAAAACGGGACCTAAGAAAGAGGGGCCATATGTCTCTCCTCGCTTATTGGAATAAATGAAATAAAAGGCCTTGGCTGGTTATTGGTCAGGTGATCTTGCCTCTGGCCATGAAGGAAAGTAGCCAGGAGCACATAACACTCTGGTTAATTGTCCTCACGTTAGGAAGTTTCTCCTTAATTCCAGGTTGCTTCTCTTTTTGATCAGTTTCCAACCATTGTTTCTTGTCCTCCCTCTGGTGCTTTGGAGAATTTGACCCAGTCTTCTTTATGACAGCCTCCCAAATACTGTAGGGATGAGGCCAGAGTTACCATGGTGGAAAAACCTGTGGGGACTGTGGGGTGGGATAAAAGCTTGGTTGGGAAGCAGAGCACAGGGTGTCTCAGGGTTGGGGGAGGCCTAGGGATGCCTGAGGGGGCAGGTCTGGGCCTGCACTAGGCCTCCAAGACCTTCTCCCAACAGTGGAGTTGCTAGTATTCCACGTAGCGACTCGCACATCTGTTTAATGGCTGCATCACGGAGGATGGGGGAGTAATTAACCAAACCAGTCTCACTTCATGGCTTTTGCAATGTACAACCGTAACTGGCAGGCCCCATTACAGTTGTAACTTGAGGACTACTGGTATGCTGGCTGGGAAAATGTAGGGATCAAAATCTGGAGCACAAGAAACAAGGCTGAAACTGCGTATGTTGGATTTCCATAATCAATATACAAAAAACACCACACTAATTCTAAGATGTATTGACTAAAAAGAATCAGGCCAGAATTTCTACACTCCCAATGGGAAATCAGAAATGAAATTCAAGCCTTCTCTAAACTCATCAATGTTTGCCTCATGTGCACTTCCTTCTGTGCTCCCACAAAATAGGTTATAAAATTAGGCACATTGTGTGATGACCCATTAATGACCCTCCTGATTTACGACTGTAATTGCAGGCTAAATTACAGTTGTAAATTGAGGACTACGAGACTACCAAGAGTTTCCCCCAACAGTGAGGTAGCCAGTGTTGTTGAATGACTTGCACATTCATTTAACCGCTGCATCAGGAACAGCAGGGACAGGGGTAGTTAAGCAAAGCAGGCTCCCAACCATAATTGGTAGGTCCCATTACTGTAACTGTACGCTAGCCGGGGAATTTCACAACTTCTGCAAACAGAAACATCCAGAAACTACTGCTGATAATCAGAAATGGGTAGTTAGTCTATATCGAACTAATATTTTCCATAGTTTTTCGCTCCACCTTCAGGTCTAATCCTGAGATCTGTTGACTAAAAAGAATCAGGCCAGAATTGAAGTAGTCAATTTCTCACCTATACTCTCAATGGGAAATCAGAAATGAAATTCAAGATTTCTCTAAACTCATTGTTTGCTTCATGTGCACTTCCTTGTGTACAATAAGAGATGACTTACACCTGAAGAATCGCTCACAGATTGGACATTTCAAAAGTTTCTCCCCTGTGTGACTAATACTGAAATCTTTTCCAATTCTGGACACTTTTACGGTTTCTCTCCTGTATGCGTCCTCTGATGTCTCACCAGGTTGAAATTCACATTGAAAGTTTCTCTCCTGTGTGAGTTCTCTGGTGTATCACAAGTTGGGAATTCTGAGTGAACCTTTTCTCACATTCAGGACATTCAAAGGGTTTCTCTCCTGTGTGAGACCTTTGATGTCTCACCAGGTTGGAACTGAAACTGAAACATTTCCCACAATCAGGACATTCAAAGGGCTTTTCTCCAGTGTGAGTCCTTTGATGTATCACAAGGTTAGAACGGGAACTGAAACTTTTCCCACATTCAGGACATTCAAAGGGTTTCTCTCCTGTGTGAGTCCTCTGGTGTGTCACCAGACTGGAAATCTGGCTGTAACATTTCCCACAATCTGAACATTTAAAGGGTTTCTCTCCTGTGTGAGTTGTCTGATGTGTCACCAGGTCAGAGCTCTGACTGAAACTTTTCCCACATTCAGGACATTCAAAGGGTTTCTCTCCTGTGTGAGTTCTCTGGTGTATCACCAGGTTGGAATTGTAATTGAAACTTTTTTCACATTCAGTGCATTCAAAGGGTTTCTCTCCTGTGTGACTTCTCTGATGTATCACCAGGCTGGAATTGCGTATGAAAGATTTCCCACAATCAGGACATTCAAAGGGTTTCTCTCCTGTATGAATCCTCTGGTGTGTCACCAGGTGGAAATTGCGTGTGAAAGATTTCCCACAATCCGGACATTCAAAGGGTTTCTCTCCTGTGTGAGTCCTCTGATGTCTGACCAGGCTGGAATTGTGTAGGAAACTTTTCCCACAATCCGGACATTCAAAGGGTTTCTCTCCTGTGTGAGTCCTCTGGTGTTTCACAAGGCTGGAATTGTGTGTGAAAGATTTCCCACAATCAGGACAATCAAAGGGTTTCTCTCCTGTATGAGTCCTCTGATGTCTGACGAGGTGGGAACTGACACTGAAACGTTTACCGCAATCAGGACATTCAAAGGGTTTCTCTCCTTTGTGAGTCCTCTGGTGTATCACCAGGCTGGAATTCTGACTGAAACGTTTCCCACAATTAAGACATTGAAAGGGTTTCTCTCCTTTGTGAACCCTCTGGTGTTTCACCAGGTCAGAATTACTCTTGAAACTTTTCCCACAATCAGGACATTCAAAGGGTTTCTCTCCTGTGTGAGTCCTCTGGTGTATCACCAGGCTGGAATTGTGCCTGAAAGATTTCCCACATTCCAAACATTCAAAGGGTTTCTCTCCTGTGTGAGTTCTCTGATGTATCACCAGACTGGAACTGTGGCTGTAACATTTCCCACAATCTGGACATTCAAAGGGTTTCTCTCCTGTATGAATACTCTGGTGTATCACCAGGGTGGAATTCTGTCTGAAAGATTTCCCACAATCAGGACATTCAAAGGGTTTCTCTCCTGTGTGAGTCCTCTGATGTGTCACTAGGTTGTAATTCTGAGTGAAAGATTTCCCACATTGAGGACATTCAAAGGGTTTTTCTCCTGTGTGAATCCTCTGATGTCTCACCAGTTTGGAACTGCAACTGAAACCTTTCCCACAATCCGTACATTCAAAGGGTTTCTCTCCTGTGTGAGTCATCTGGTGTTTCACAAGTTAGTATTTTACAGGGGAACTTTTTTTCACAAACTGGAGACTCCTATGGTTTCTCTCCTGTGTGAATTACTTTGCTTGGTAAAGCATTTACCACATTGGGAACATTTATAGGGCATCTGTCCTGTGTGGATCCTTTTATGAACCAGAAGGGAGATATTCTGACCAAAGATTTTGTTACATTAATACCATTTGTATGCCTTTATTCCAGTTTGGATCCTCTTGTACGTAATCACCTATGCTTTTGCAATCCACTGGTATGCTGGAGGAAGTCAAAAATGTGTGTGGTCCCTTGTTTAGTGGTGCTTTGATTTCACCTACTGTTTTTTTCGTCCCACTGGGAGTTCTGCATTACTGTCTGCCCTATTTGAGTATCCAATTGACCTTTTCTTCCCCACTGACTTCTAGATATTTCCCTCTTTTTCTGAAAGGAAAAATGATCCCCTCCACCTTGTCATGTAACGTATCCTTCTGTTCAGCATACTCTACTATTTCCAGCTTGGAATCTCTTCTTGATTTTCTCTTGCCTTTCGCCTGCTGGGATGGGAGAATTGTGTAATTTTCTGAAGGAAATGGAAAATATTTTGAGTTCTGGCTTGATTTACTTTCCTTTTCAAAAGTTATTCTCACTTCTCCAAAGTGCTCTTATTGCCATCCTCTTTGTCTGTAAGATTCAAAGAAAAGTGTAAGTTTAATTGTTTATACAATGCTTGCAGATGTGAAAAAAAAGGAAAAAAATATACATCACATGTAAAAAGCAAAATGCCACAATGCTAACCTCTTACATTAATTATGATTCATCGGACATTCCAGAGATCCAACTTCAGATATCTGTTCAATCATGAAATTCCCTTGACTTGAATCAACCATAAACTGTAATCTATGGGTTATCACAAAATATATCTGGAAGTCTGGGGTATAGATTATACAACTGCATATATATGGAAAGAGTAATATAAATACACATATCTATAATTATATGTGGAAAATTCATGTTTTTAGCCTGAAAACGAAAAAAAGATTACTGTCAAATGTTCTGAGTTAATTTCTAGAGGTGTGGGGGCTTTAACTGATGAAATGATGCCTAAAGCCTCTGCAAGATTTGCACATGGGAGTCCTCGGCAACAAATAAGGGCAAAAACTACTCTCCACAATCCCTCTGCTGACATCCCAATTGAAGTACTCCTCACTTAATGACTGCAATTGGGACTGACATCTGTGTCATTAAGCGGCCCGATCATTAAGCATGATGTTAACATGATAGTGCCAACTTACATCCGTTTCTCTGGACTTGTTAAGCAAGTCACCATGAGTTGTTAAAGGCAATTTCACATGACTGTGGCTTGCAATTTCCTGCCACTGATTTTGCTTGTAAGAAACTAGCTGGGAAGGTCAGAGATGGGGATCATGAATGTGGGATACTGCAGCCACCATAAACACGCAACAATTGGCAGCATCTGAATTGGTGCAACTCCCTTTTCCTGCTTTTTCATAATCACAGGCCCAGAGAAGAAGTGGTAAATGAGGACTACTTATACAACTGAACATCCTGAAAGGTCTTCCATAGCTATTCTTTCAGAAGTGCTGGCTTAAGCACAACTGAACCTCGTTAATACACGTATGGGGCGCCAATAGGAAATGCCGTGGTTGTTAGCTATAAATAGAAGTAAAAAAATAAAAATCCCAGAAAAAAATAGTGGCAGTTTCAGTCTGACATTATTGTCAAGAAAACAGCAGGTCCACAAGAGAATAATGAGAGTTGAAAGGGACCTCAGAGGTCTTCTAGTCCAATCCCCTGCTTATATAGGAAAGCCATATTATTCTTGACAAATGGCTGTCCAATCTCTTCTTAAAAATCTCCAGTGATGAAACACGCACAACGTCTGCAGGCAAACTGTTTCATTGATTGTTCTCACTGACAGGAACTTTCTCCTAATTCTAGTCTCCATTTGTTACTTCTTGTTCTGCTCTACGACACTTTGGCGCACAGGTCAATCCCCTCTTCTATGTGACAGCCCCTTCAATTTTGAAAGAGTGCTATCGTCTAAACACAAACTCTCCATGCGGCATTTTAGTCCAACAACTGAAGCCTCTCTGCAGCCCAAACAATAAACTGGCTCTTCTGCAGACCAGTCTCTGTTCCCCAAAATGCCCTGCAGGCCATAAAAACAAAATAGAGATACAAGTTAAGATAGGCAAGAAAATGGTAAGTGAACACCTGTCCAGCCTAGACGAGTTCAAATCACCAGGACCAGATGGATTACACCCCAAGGTTCTCAAGGAACTGGCAGATGTGATCTCAGAACCACTGAGCTATGTTTTTCAAAGATCTTGGAGCACTGGGGATCTACCAGAGGACTGGAAAAGAGCGGATGTAGTTCCCATCTTCAAAAAAGGGAAAAAAAGGACCCAGGAAATTACAGACCTATCAGCCTGACCTCAATACCTGGGAAGATTCTGGAAAAGATAATCAAACAACGAATCAGCGAACACCTAGAGGCAAACAAAGTCATTACTAAAAGCCAACACGGGTTTGTCAAAAACAGATCATGCCAGACAAATCTTATTGCATTCTTTGACCAGGTGACAAAATTAGTGGACCAGAGGAATGCTGTGGATATAATTTACTTGGACTTCAGTAAGGCATTTGACAAAGTAGATCACACCGTACTACTTGATAAGATAGAAAAATGCGGGTTACAGAGTACAGAGAAGAGCAACAAAGATGATTAGGGGACTGGAGGCTAAAACATATAAGGAACGGCTGCTGGAATTGGGTATGTCTAGTTTAATGAAGAGAAGGACGAGGGGGGACATGATAGCAGTGTTCCAATATCTTAGGGGCTGCCACAAAGAAGAGGGAGTCAAGCTATTCTCCAAGGCGCCTGAAGGCAGGACAAGAAGCAACGGATGGAAACTAACCAAAGAGAGAAGCAACCTAGAACTAAGGAGAAACTTCCTGATAGTTAGAACAATTAACCAGTGGAATAACCTGCCTCCAGAAGCGGTGAATGCGCCAACACTGGAAGTTTTTAAGAAGAAACTGGACAGCCATTTGTCCGAAATGGTATAGGGTTTCCTGCCTGAGGAGGAGGTTGGACTACATGACCTGCGAGGTCCCTTCCAACTTTATCATTATTATTATTAATTATTATTATTATTATTATTATTATTATTATTACTATTATTACTATTACTATTATTATTATTATTATTATTATTATTAACTTTCTCTTAATTCTAGACTGCATCTGTTACTTCTCGTTCTTCTCTATGACACTTTGGTGCACAGGTCAATCCCCTCTTCTATGTGACAGCCCCTCCAATTTTGAAAGAGTGACATCATCTAAACACAAACTCTCCGTGGGGCATTTTAGTCCAACAACTGAAGCCTCTCTGCAGCCCAACCAATAAACTGGCTCTTCTGCAGACCAGTCTCTGATCCCCCAAATGCCCTGCAGGAAGTTATTAGAGCTCCCAGGCCTGTCCCTTGACCGGAAATTCTATTATCTTTCTGAATATTATCACAACCCCTTGATCTCTTTGTAAAGCTGTTTGTAAAAAACAGTGGAAAACTTCTTTTTCAGGGTAGATTATACACACCTTAAAAGAACTAAATATTTAAATTGAAAACCTCCACAGACAGGGCTGTTCCCTGACATGGGCAGAGAGAAAGAGGGACTCAGCAGTCACCAGAGAGGGAATCTGGGCA